TTTGAACAGACTGAATAGTTTCCCATTTCCAACTGGAAGAAACCACCAAAATAGCTGAATATGCTGAATTTGAAATAAATGTCCAATGACAGTGGAATCATGAACTCTATTTACTTGACATTCCAAACAATGCCAATCTCTAATGAGGGTACTGGGAGTAACTCAGCATCCAGACCCACATTTTACAAAGCTGGCCCCAGGTAAGTTCTAAATAATTTTGGGTCGTGCAGAGGAAAAGGTAGCTTATAAAATATTTGGCAGTACAGATTCGCAGGAGGGTTCACTTGGGGAGCTTAGGACTAGGCGGGATAGATGACTCAGCCTGATAAGTTTCTCAAAGAGATTATTTTTAAAAGGTAGTTAAGTAGATGCCATCCCTCTCTTGATTCTGGCTAGCGAAGTCCAAGTATTGTTCAGATATCCAACCCTCACCATAAGGCAATGTGCTGGGGAAGTTGACACCCCCCACCCAACCCCAGGTATAAATCCAGAATAGGTCCTGCGTGATTCCTCTGCAATAACCATGGAAACCTCCTTTCAAGAGCCAGTGAATGCTTTGGCAGTAGAAACATGTCATACTGGAGATCCTTAGTAGAGACTTGTTCAGGGGTCTTGTGCTCTGCTTAAGAAGTTTAAAGGATAAAAACTCAGAATCAAGGCTAAAAGCCTAAATATGACGAGAATGTACAGAGGCAACCAAATATCTCACTCTGGCTGCTGTGTGTAACAAGGGAGGAAGAACAGCACAAGTAATTTTAGTAGAACACGGCAAGTACAACGACATGGACATACACTTACAGGGTTCCTTACCCTGAAAAATCGTTCTCACTGTTATCTGTGGTGGAACTCCATTATCTCTCTCCCAACAGCTGTTAAAGACAATTATTAAAACACCAACAAACAAGTACAATTCCTGATTGTGTCCTGTATCGGGCACTGGGGGCCTAAGAAGCTTTTTAATTATATTGGAAAGAAAAAGTTAATTCTAAAGCAAACATTTCATTCCTTATGAGGATCATAGAATGTGAGGTGTCAGAGGGTCCCCAGAAGTCATTCAGTCATTCAACAACTGCTTGTTGTTTTTTAATGTTTTTATTGATTTTACGGAGAGAGGAAGGGAGAGGGAGAGAGAGAAACAATTGATCAGCTGCATACCCCCTACTGGGGAACGAGCCCACACCCGGGCATGTGCCCTGACTGGGAATTGAGCCTGCCCTGGATGATGGTCAGTCACCTGAGCCACACCATCTAGGGCTGGGTTAACTGCTTGTTTGAAGTGTAAATGGCTTTTCTCCTTTGGTCTCCCCTTTGCTCTTCCTACCTCTTTCTCTTTAAAATTGCTGTTGTGTCTCCCTAGCCAGTTTGGCTCAGTGGTTAGAGCATTGGCTCAGGGACTGAAGGGTCCTGGGTTCGATTCCAGTCAAGGGCATGTACCTGGGTTGCAGGCTTGATCCCTAGCCCGGCTGGGGCATGTGTAGGAAGCAACTAATGGATGTGTCTCCCATCGATGTTTCTCTCTCTTTCTCTCTCTCCTGTCCACTTTCTCTCTGATAAGCAGTGGAAAAAATATCCTCAGGTGAGAATTTAAAAAATAAAAAGAAAATAAAATTGCTGCCACATCAGGCCTCCACTTGCTGATGCTGAGGTGTGTGAACACTTACTAGTAAGTGGATTATAAAGGATTATGAACTGTAACTTCTGATAGCAGCTTTATTCTCTCCATTGAGAGTAATTGTAGGTTTTCTATTCTGTGAGGCTTAAAAAAATTAATAGGGACTTTAAAGGCCATTAAAGTCATACTAATTTGGGGGAAACCATTAAATTGTGAAAGGGTAACTTGGCTGATTTGAGCTAACTTGATCCAGTTAATCATGATTTCTCCATAAGAATTTATGTGCAGCTATATTTTTAATGCTGGTAACCTTTGAAAGAGATAGGAAAAGCCATCTGCTTAATTGCTGCCAAATATACTCTGCCCTATGGGCTCTGAATCCTGAGTAGACCTGTCCTGTGGGCTTTAGGCTCTAAGCTAGAGCTGAGCTTTATTGTGTCATTCAGTAGGGGAGACTGAATAGGAAAGGGAATTACCATGGGGGAAAACACTATTACTTACCCAGGGGTGACTGACTACCACTTCTGTGTATGAGCAAACTGCTGAGGAATGGATTGTACTCCCTGAGAAACAATAGCCATCTCTCAACATAATGCATGCTCAAGGCATCTGTAATGCTGCCAGAGAAAGAGAGATATATTCTTCATGCCCTATATCAACTTACAGTTTTGATTTTTCTCCCTTTTGCTTTGATTTGGCTGGGGTGCTAGATGATCCAAGAACCTGAAAAGGTTAGAGCAAGAAATGGCACCTAGACCTCATCTCTCTATACTCTGCCTTGTTCCACAAGAATTTGTATCAATTTAGGATTTGTACAGCCCAACCTACTTTCTTAAGAGATCAGGAAACTGATTCTTTTAGAAGTTATTTCCCCAAAATCCTATAGCTAGTTAGTGGTAAAGGTAAAATTGAAACTCCTACCTGTCTCCTTATTGAAGTGAGATGTGTTAATAGTTATGTTAGGCGCAAACTCTTTGCCAGGTCCTGTGTTGTGTTTGCCCTGGATGATGTAATAGAGAGTAGGAAGGACATGAATCTTGTCCTTGGAGTGCTTACCCTGCAGGGGGCGGGGGCAGGTTCAAAGCAAACGTTCATACAGATCCATTAGGTAAATTATGAAAGAACCAGATCTGTGATCACTGTGTAGGGTGCTGTAAGCATGTAATGGAGATCCTACAAGGCTTGTTTCCAGAAATGACATTTATGGTGAGCTATGAAGGAGAAATGGGAATAAACCAGACAAAGGATTTAGGCAACAGGCATGCAGAGCAGAAGAGAAGAGAATGAGAGAAGGCCCTGAGGTGCGTGGAGCTTGGCTCAGCTGCGAAATGGAACAAAAGTGAGCTGCGCATAGCTGGAGTGGAGCAAAGAGAGCAGGGGACAGAGAACAAGAGGAGACTGGAGATGGAGGGTGGGCTCAGGCCACTCTGGGCCTTACCGCCTCCAGAGGTTTGGACTTGATCCTAAGTGCAATAAGAAGTCATAGGGAGATTTTAAATGGGATAGAAATATAATCACATTTATGTTTTGGAACCATAATAACTTGGCCGGTGCAGAACAGATTGGAGAGAGGATGAGGGGTGTAAGTAGGGGGACCAATAGGAAGCTCTCACATTAATAGAGGTGAGAAATGATGATGGCTTTGCACTAGGTAGGGTGGAAAGAAGTGCCAAGATTCAAGATCCGTTTTGAAGGTAGAACCAACTGGATTTCTTATTTTTTACAAGTCATCGTTTCTTATTAAACACATTCTAATCAAATAGTAACAGCACTAAATAAACACTTTGAAAAAGAGGCAGGTATCCCCCTATATCTGGAAGGAAATTAAGTCAACATTTTCTACATGGTAGAAGGGAGGCAACTGCTGATGTCCATGGTCAGACAAATGAAGAACAGCTTGGAAATTTCTAAAGCAATCTCCAAAAAAAAAGCCGTGGCAACAGTTTGGGACACAGCTACTTCGAAGGGTAAAATGCCTATATCTACATGGTTTTGTTAACAGGGGTTGGGTTGTGCCTGTATAGTATGGATTGAATACACAGTTGATGTGTGAGAGGTTTCAAGAATGGCGCTCAGGCTCTTGGCTGAACCACTGGGCAGATAAGGCTGACATTTACCCAGGTGGAAGGGAGATTGACTCTGGAGCCCTCTGGGGACTGAGTGGGATAAAGAGCTCTATTTTATTTAAGATGCTTGTAAGACATTTGGTGGAGATGTAAAGTAGGATATGCAGGTCGTAAGCTCAGAAAAACATCTGGGCTAACTATGTGAATTTGGAAGACATTAAATATAGACAGTCTTTGAACTTAAGGAAATAATTACCCTAGTTGAGGTGTTTGAACTCACACTGGAGAGAAGGATGGGTGGGGTATAAGTTTAATGAGGAAAAGCATTCCAGGTAAAGGCAGTGATATGATTAAAGCCCCAAGGCAGGAACAATGTAGACCAATTTATCTTTTTCCAATTGGTGAGAAGTGAAAAATAATACAAGGTGGAACATTGAGTGCCCTCCTAAGTCACGTAGCGGCTGTCCCTTACACACTGGTCCTCTGGAGAGATCTGTGAACAGCCTTAAATCTTTACCCAGCAGGAAGAAGCATTTTTTGGTGCTCCCTTAGTTATTGTGAAACCTCAAAGTCAGACTTAACATAAATCTTGAGATAATTGGTCGCGCATCATGAATGAAGAGTGAAGAATAAATCTCCCAAAGAACCACCGCCTACCATTTGCTAGTAAAGTAGTGGGAATAAGCCCAAATAATCAGAACTGGTGTGTAGGAGTTCTCTGTGCCTGTCAGCCTGCTGATGAAGTTTCAGCTTCCACCTCCTCGCTCCAACAGGGTGAGAAGAAGCAGGATTAACCTAACGCACAAAGCCGTGCCTGCCTGGACCTCTGCTCTCCCCATCCATCACACCGCTGCGCGCAGCCCACCCGTGTGGGGACTGTCGCATACATCCCCTCACCCTTCGTTTGGCAGAACGAAGTAAGAAGCCAAGAGAGGAGGCTGGGAACCTTTCCAGTTCAAAGAACAAAATGCTCTAAACATCAGTGGGGCCTAGAGGTTACACACACCCTTTTGAAAAATTTATACTCCTCAGTGCTGAAAGAGTTGATGACTTTCCAAAATTATCCTCTGCAGCACCTGCCTTACTAAGCAGGATTTGGCCAGCCCCTAGCATCATCATTCTCTGTCACTAATAATTGTATCTTAGTATCCCTTGAGTAATACATCTCTTTCTGTGCCTAGTAGTTTTGCATGTTATATATATCTTTTAATTCTGTAGTGCTGTGCGTGCATTTTCAACTGAGAACCGAGGAAATGATTATAACTTGAGCCAGGAACTTGGCATTTACTGTGTACTGATTCTGCCTATTTTAACATCCACAGAAATGAAGATGCAGTCAGTCAGATGGCCGTTGCTCCCTTCCCATTACCATCAAGTTCCCCATCTTTTATTGAGGTAAGATGGTTCCTAATTAATTTATAGTGAATATGTTAGGTGGATTTGTCATAATTGTTTATTCCAAATCTAGCTTTTTCTGACATTCAGTGTCTTGTATTCCAAACTCATAGAATTTATTAACTAGGGAATTTCCCTAATTAAAATAGAAAGTATTTGAAGTATGATTATAAAGCGATATAAAACAATGTTAAACAAATATATTAGAACTTAACCATGTGAGTATTTCCTTCCTCAAAGTTTCTTAAGGTTTTTTTCTAGGCATAGAATCTGTCCTAATTTCTTAGAAAATTATCTTTTTTAATAACTGAGTAGTACCTTTTTCTTTATGGTTTCAAAACACGTTAGTACCTATGATTGCAGGTATTAAACATTTTAATACCTATGATTGCAGGTATCTTTAAATAATTACTTCCATCTATTGATAGGGAACATACTAATACAACAAGATTGCTATCATAATGCTCTGCTTCTAGAAATAGATAGATAGATAGCTATTTTACCAGTGTGTATTCCCAGCTGAGGGAATATTACATTCTCTTTATGTTTTTTATTTATTGGATTATTTTTCAATTTCAAAAAGAAATACATACTTATTAAAACTAATCAAATGCAGATTTATTAGAAGAAAAAGTTGATTTTCCTTTCCTGACCACTCCAAGGAAGTTAATATTTACTATTTAGTACCTCTCCATACTTTTTCCTTTGCTTCTAAAACAAAAATAAAGTTGATCTCCCCCCTAATCTTTGTTTCTCCACCCCTGTGTCTTTATTTCTATTGTTTATTCTGCCTGATTGCCTTCCCACTTCCTCCTTATTAATTCTCAGCCACTAATTCCTTGAAGAATTGCTTCTTTGGAAGCCTCCTCCAAATTTTCTGTGACTCAAAATGAATAAAATAATGTATAGAGAATGTAGTAAGTGCTCAAATGTGAGATGCTATTCTTATGACCAACTTCATCCCACGCCATTCCCTTGAGTAGTCTTTACTCCCTTCTCAGTTAAATAATACTCATGATTCCTTTAAAAGGTAAAAATTATCCTTCCTCCTTTGTGTGATGTCACCTGGGCCTTATAGAAAAAGACAGACCCATTTCTAAATGGGTTCATCAAGGATTCTGTTCCTTGTATTCCCCTCATTATCTTGATGGTTTAAGAATGTATGATTGGCCCTGGCTGGTGTGGCTCAATTTGGTTGGGCATCCTCCGTGCACTGAAAGGTTGCTGGTTCAATTCCCTGTCAGGGCACATGCCCAGGTTGCAGGCTTGATCCCCAGTAGGGGGTGTGCAGGAGGCAGTGATCGATGTTTCACTCTCACACCGATCTTTCTCTCTCTCCATTCTTCTCTCTCTAAAAATCAATTTTTAAAAATCTTTAAAAAAAAAAAAAAGAATGTAAGATTGTAAGCACCACACTAAACTGTATGNTCCCCAGTAGGGGGTGTGCAGGAGGCAGTGATCGATGTTTCACTCTCACACCGATCTTTCTCTCTCTCCATTCTTCTCTCTCTAAAAATCAATTTTTAAAAATCTTTAAAAAAAAAAAAAAAAAGAATGTAAGATTGTAAGCACCACACTAAACTGTATGCTTTTGGAGGGTTAAGCTTATTGTCTTCTTGATCATTCAATCCTTAGTGCCTATAAATATTGTGGGATAGTTGAATGGCAGGAGCCATATTTTGGCTTTTCTGCTGTAACCTTGATGCTTTATTTCAGTGTTCAATACTTCTTATTGATTCAGTTCATTCTGCTGCTCTTTACCAAGTGTCTGCTTTGTAGAGCATACAAAGACTAATTGCAGATAGTCTGTATTCTCAAAGAACTTAGAGTCTTATAGGGAAAGCATGACATATGTATTACTGAGACAGTGTGCCCTAAGAGATAAAGCTTTAGGAGGAGTTCACAGAAGATGAATGGTATTTCCTGGTAGGAGAAGAGCTATTTCTGATCGATAGATTGGATTTTAAAATATGAATGTAGTTGGATAAAAATGTGGGAAAAGCACAAATAAAAGCACAGAACTAAGAAAAATCAGGGTGTAGAATGGGAGAAGAGTATAAGGGTATGTGAAAGGGAGTAATAGAAGTTGGGGTTGGAAAAATAAATTGAGGTCAAATGAAAGAGGCTTGCACTTAAATCTCAGAAGATTTGAATTTTATGCGTTAGGCACTTGGAACTGTTGAAGGCATGTTGAACAATGAAATAGTCTGATCAGATCTCTACTTAAGGTAAATTAGTCTAATAGCAACGTCAAAGACGTCTTGAAAAGGGAAACCCAATTAGGAAGCCACTGCTGTAATGTCTTATAAGAGGTACTGAGGACTCAAGTATACTTGGGTTGCACGATATTTATTCCATTCTTTGACAAGGCAGGCCGGCTCTTTTAGAATAACTTTATAGAAGCAAACACTTTCACTTTTCCTTTTTCTCAGAAGTTGTGCTTTTTTGAATACTAAGTGAGATGGAGCAGACTAATAAAAAATGGAGAGGTTCATTACCTAGCAAGTGTCATTAGCATAATTTCCATTTTATCTTAATTGTACACTGCCTCTCTGGAATTCTGAGTAACCTAGAAAGTATGCTCCTCATTGGGGGTAGAAGAAAGAAATTCAATTTGTTGCATCTAGTAAACATGACTTTGCAGGAAGAAATATTTGTGAATTTAGGATGGCAGTGAGATTAATAAATCCTTTTTTGGTCTTTTGAAGAGACCATTGGATTTAGGAAACATAGGCATGACAAAATTTAAGTCAACATTTGTTTTATTTTTTTAAAGAACTTTCAATTATATCAGTGATGTACAGTTACTTGGGTTTTTGTGTGTGTGTATGTGTGGGTTTTTTCAAATTTATTTTGCTTAGTAAAATCTTAAATCAAATTAACAAGAAAACAGTTGTATATACTAATATACTCTTTTGTCATGTTAAATGAGGGAGAAGGTAGAGAACACTGTGGAACATTTATCTCATCAGAAGTGTTTTCCCAGTCCATGGTAACATCCTTATTTAATTTAAATTTTATCGATAGCCTACTCTCAAATTAAACATAAATTCCTCTTGTCAAGGTTCTCACTGTATAGTTGGAGAAAACTATAGACAAGTAATGGGTATGAAAAAATAAAGTAATATATTAAATAAAAATGTATCATTGCTCAATGTAGAAGATTTTGGAGGAGCCCAAGGGAGAGAGTTTAGAACTCCCCTGAATATTTGCAAGAGACTTCTCAGTGGGGACTGAATCGCATTTCTCATCAGTCTTTCTATTTTATTTATTTATTGGGGGTGGGGGTAAAGGCTATACTAAGTGTATAATCATGAGCCTTGCCTTTTCTTTTCATTCATCTATAAAGTATAATTCACTGTGGATCTAGTGGCCGTGGTCTTCATGGGAAAGGTCATTCTCCTTGAGCAGCTTAGGCTGAACAGGCGGCTTTGGACAGGTGGTTGGAAGATTAGCGAGAGGAAAGGAATACACAGCCGTGAAGATTAGCGGGATCGTCTTAGGTGTCAGTGGGCCACCGTCCATCAGCCAGATGGTCATCACAGCACCGCGATACATTGTGCTCTGGAAATCCTGCTAGCTGACCTATTTTCCCCTTCCCAGCTCTGACTGATTCCTGTTTTCTAAGCTCTTGGTCAGCGGGGTGTTTTGAAGGCTCCTTAACACATATGAGCCATTCTGTTCTCAGAACAGAACCACATTGTTTTGTTCTGTGCCTCATTAAAGCATAAAAACTCTTTTATAAACTTTAGCTCTCCTAGGAAACTAAACGCTTTATTGCTGACTTTTCTCAATTCCAGCTTCTTTTTTACCTGACTCTCCTTTCCATCTATATTTTGACTTTAAACCCCTCTACGGAGCCATCTCAAACTAACCTGGTAACTGAAAACAAGAAAAGCTTTAGAAGGGGCTCATGATACAATTAAAAAGAACATTGACTTTGACTCAAGGTAGACCTGAAGTGAACTTAAAAATGAATCAGACAAAGGAAATGAATGAGGCACAGGCTTTGGATTCAGGATTTTTCAGTCTCATCAAGGAGTTCAATTCTTTACACACATAATTAAGATACAAATGAGACGACTACATGTGATATAAGTAGTTCAGGTAAAATACTAGGTGAGTTAGAGAAAGAAGATGGGTTTTCAGTTAAGAAGGAAAGGATTTATCGAGTAAATAGCGTTTGAGACATAGGTTTGTAGAGGTAAAGGCTATTCTCTTTTGTTTTCATGCAAATTGTAAAGGATATATTTGCAACCTAGACTGCTTTGCCCATGTTTTCTTAAATTTTCTAAGTTGAAGCATCAAACAGCTGTTTTCTCCCCCACTATAGTATTCATTTTCTAAAATCAAGAAAATATATTACCAAGAAATATAAAATTTAAAATCCTCTCATTTATTTAAACACTTCCTTTTCCATATTCATATAAGGTTGTTATGAGTCTGAAACATGAAACAAGGCATGGATTAAGAACTTGTCTCAACAAAAGCTAGAAAAAAGATCAACTGTGCCCAGTGTTGTGTCAATAGAACTTTTACATGTTTATCTGTTAATCTTCGAGGCAATCTAAAAGGGCAGTATTTTTAATTTGGTATTTTTATATGTACCTTAAAAACAAGCACTCAAATTTGAAAGTAACTTGCAGAAAATCATATAATTCTAAGTATAAAGTTAAGATTTGAATCCAGATCTGACCAATTCTAATGTCCATGCTACTTTTTTTTTTTTCTTCTTTTTTTAGGTATTTCTCATAGCTCTCCTTTATTTTTTAAACAGGCAGTAATGTGCACTAATTCTTTTATAATCAAACAGTATAGAAATAACTAATGCAAAATTCCCCAATCCCTAATCCTACTCCTGAGAAGTAAACAATTTTTTTTAAATTTGTTCTTTATGCTTACAGATATTTTTCCTGCTTCTATAGCTGTTAAATATTAAAAGATTGCCCTAAATTACAGACTTTCAGTGGTGTGTAAAAATTTCTGTTTTTCTACGTTATCAGTGCTGAATGTTCTCTTTCTATTCTTTTGTCCATTTGAGAGATGAAAGAATTCTCTATCTACTTTAATTTGCATTTCTTAAATTATAAGTGAGGTAGAATGTCCCGAAATCAAGACTATTTTCTCTACAAACAATCCCATTCGCATTTGTAGTAATCCCAGGGTGGTGATGTTTTAAAATAAACATCTAGATAAACACAAATAGATACTCCATTTATTATCCTGTTCTCCCTTATGTGCCCTTAGAAAGTAACTTGTAGTTAGTTAACTATAACATTCAATGTCATAATTCAGTTGAGGAGATGCCTAATGTGTTTTGGAATTTTAGTGGGTGTTATTACTACCAGATGTCTCATTTATATTAAATAAATATTTTAGGATGCTGCAGACCAAATCATCAAGAAAACAAGTACTCCATTCATTGTTTCAATCAGTATTTGTCAAGTGTTTCCATGTGCCAAGCAGGGTGCTTAGGTACTTGAGTTGCAGAAATAAACAAGATAAATACAGTCTCTTATCTCAAACAGTTTAGTCTTGTGCAGAAAATAAATATTTCAGAAAGTTTTGGCTGGAGGGAACAAATAGCTAACTCGAAGTGGGTAAAACGGTAAGTAAATTTATTAGCTCTTGTTAGAAGACTGGTAAGGAGAAGGCTGGGCTGCAGGTTTGCTTGATCCAGTGGCCCAGTTCTTTCCATCAGAAAACCAGTTCTTTGCGTCTTTATCTTTGTTGTCATTCACAGTATCAGCCTCATCCCAAGCCTGGTTTCCTCTTGGTTGTGGGATGGCTGACATTTTGAGCTTCATGCTTTCTTGTTTATTTGGGAACGTATGGGGACTTCTTATGGTTCTTTTGAGATCAAGGAAGGACTTCAACAAACCTCTCTTTGTGTCTTATTGACTAGAACTGGATCATGCCTATTCCTGACAAAACCATCAGCAAAAAGAATAGGATTAACCTTAAGGCCATCAGCCCGCTTGGGACAGAAAGTGGGGATCCACTTTTTCTAAGGCGTATCTGTGAGCAATAGAGATAGATACGTACCTTGGGGGG